ACAACATACGTAGAAGAAACTGGACACCAACTCAACACACGAACAATAGAACATAGAAAAGAACGAGAAAGAAACTAATCGAAGACAGACAAGAGACGCAAATCAAGAAGCAGAAAGAACAATAAAGAAATTAGCCGTAACAGACCACTGCAATAGGGAGAATCATATAATGGGACAGCACAAGGATCATAAACACCGAACAACAAAAATACAGAGGATGGATTAAGGAAGCCATAGAAATAAGGAGACGTGGACACTCAACCATGAACAGAGACGATGGGGTCTACACACTGAATCACGCATGGGACTGTGTCATCGGCGAGGAGAGTCAGTGTCGCTCTCTGCTGCCCACGGATACACGGAGAAGGAAGTGACGCCACCAAGAGTGGCGAAGCTCTCAGGAAGACTAAAGTGTTAGTCAAGACGTTGTGGACAAAAATTATTATTACTAACACGTCCAGTTGCAACAAAGCCAGGTCACCATCACATTTTGCTGCTTTGGTGAGTGCTTAGTTTTCCAGAGGAAGTTGTGTTTTCCACCAGCAACCAATAAACAAAAGGTTTTAGGTTTGTCTCACATTTTCTATTTATTGTATCCTCTCAGCCAATATATTAGTGCAGATGTTTCTCAATCATTCAGTTTGTGTTTAGGTGGAAACAACTGGACTTTCCTTGAAGACGTTTCGCCGCTCATTCAAGAGGCTTCTTTGTCAGTCAAGACATTTTGTTGGTTATACTTCTGTTGGTGACTAATCATCAGACTAGATGTCGTCTCTGACAGGAACCTCTCCCCACAAACAGCATGTAGGTGAACTGGGTGACATATTGAAAAATCTTTCTCCCTATTCTGTGTAAAACTATTATATGAACAAGAATGCCTTTATTTTTCCATCAGTGGGGAAATCGCATTATTGCAACATCTCAAAGACAGAGGATAGCAGCAGTAGCACACTAAAGTATTCAGTCTCTTGATGTCCTTTCCCTGGATGTTCACTGGTGAAGGAACAGCAAGCCGGCATCTTCGAAGATCCACCACCATCTCCTTTGTTTTCCCTGCGTTAATCAGGAGGTGGCTTTGCTGTCACCAGTCCACTAAGTTCTGCGCCAGACCTCTGTACTCCTTGTCATCATCCTCTGTGATCAGTCCGTCAATCGCAGTTGTCTGAGAACGTCTGCAGAACACAGCTGCCCGTGTTGTGTCTGAAACTTGCAGTGTAGAGGGTGAAAAGATAGGTGGCGATGACCGTCCCCTGGGGCACACCCACACTGCAGGTCAGACACACAGTCCCGGGCTCTCACACACTGGGGCCGGTTTGTGAGACAGTTTAGAGTCCACTGTGCTAAGTTAAGGTCCATCCCAGCCCTCTCCAGCTTAGCTTTCGGGGTCATCCAGGTGTCGAGTTATTTGAATGCAGCTGTGTGAGGGGAGGCGTGGACGCTTGATCAAACCTATACACCTTATTCTTTTGGCCCATCATGCTTTGCGCGGAAGATGCAAGCGACTTCCGGTCCTGCACTAGTTTACACTGAGATGATGGGATCCCTTTGTGCAAATCCTCTTTTAATGGGCATTTAGAGACTGAAAACATGCATGAACACCAGCTGTCACAGCTCAAACAGGAACCCGTTACACTCCTTCTGCCTACTGAAGCAGAGAGGTGGGGGGACGATCTTAAACTCTGGCCAAAGCTAACGTACAGTAGCATTTTAGCTACTTTCTGAACTCAGTCACATCCAATTGCGAGGCAATAAACAGACGTAGAACCCAGTCAGAGCCTTAAATCCATCATCGCTAAGTTTTGGGTTTTAGTCTCTACATCAGGTGACATACAAACAGCAGGATGGCTCTTTTAGGTTTATAACAGAAGTCTAAACACGCTTTAAATTATAACTATTCAGAAATTTGTACACATGAAATCATACCTGTTGTTGTTCTTGTGAGACTGCAGGCAGATCTCTTTGCTACTCGGTGTTGCTTCTCCGGAGGTTTGTCATATCCAACAACGGAGTAGGATGCAGGTGTTCCTCTCCGGGTTTTCACAATAAAATGAAGATAATGCACAAATAAAGTTTGTGGTGGTTTTCAAGTTAAGATTTTTCAGTCACATCATTCTGGGTTCCTCATTTCTGGAGAGGAGGTGAAAACCATACAGACGCTCGCAGCCTCACACTGTATCACTCTGGAGGTGCATGTTCTAAATATCGCTCATGTAGATACAAATTTCCTTTTCTCTGGTTGTTAGTACAAACGCGATCAGCACAAGCTCCTTCCTTAGCTGCCTGAGTACATTTTTTGGGGGTAAATATTTTTTAAATCCTCTTCAAATGTTCAAAAAAAACTGCTACTAGCAATGAAACCTCACAATACAAACCAATGTGCCACTTCTGGATCCACCTCACTGGATGTTGACTGCATCAACATTTCTTCATGAGGCTTCTCAAGGTGAATAAAAATACAGGTTTAGGTCTTTGGCCCACTTCAGGTCCCCCTCCCCCTATGAGTAGGGCGTTTTGGAGCTGGAGTTGGTTTTCAGCTTTCTCCTCTATTAAGACGTTTCCTCGCATCTCCAAGGAGATTCACTAAACATGGTCTTAATTAAATCTAATTTAATTAGCAGTTCATGTCACCAGCCTTCATTGCAGTGCTGTCTCCCAATACAGGCTGGGTGAGGGGCCGAGTTCTAGAGCTGTTAATGTTCATGTCAGCACAATCAACCAGCCTGCTTCTGTGCACAGGTGTGACCAAGTCACTGCTTTGCAAGTCAAAAGTAAATCACAAGTCTTTACAGTCAAGTCCAAGTCCTTACATTTGAATTTTCAAGACATAAGTCATCTGTCAAACTTGAATTTAATGACAATGATAAAAAATAAATTCCAGAATAAAAGCTTCTTAAAGCTTCATTTATTTGCTCAAACAAGCAGGGAGTGCAACTGAAACTGATTATAAACAAAGTGCTGCTGCAGTTAGCAGTTCAAGATCACACCCAGAACCAAGAATTATTTATGATTTTTGTCCATGTCGTGTCACTTTTGTGCTAAAATATCAAATATGCTCAAGTCATCATCAAGTCAACAGATGTAAGTCAATTCAAGTCGCAAGTCATTGGCGTTTGATTTTATCAAGTCAAGTCAGAAGTCATTCAAATGAAGTCAGAAGTCATTATCCATGCCTTTATCTCCTCCCGTCAAGATTACTGTAACACACACTTCACGTGTTTTAACAAAAAAGCCCTTGACCGCCTTCAGTTGGTCCAGAACTCTGCAGCAAGGCTCCTAACTGGAGCAAACAGAAGAGCTCACATCACTCCTGTTCTGTAGCCTCTGCACTGGTTACCCGTTAACTTTAGAGTTCATTTTAGAATCCTGACTAGAACTTTCAGGGATCTACATGGTCAAGCTCCTCCCTATATTATTGAACTGTTAAAGCCTTATGCTCCAACCCGAGCCCTCAGGTACACACACCAGAACCTTCTAGAAGTTCCATAGACCAGATATAAAAGTCGAGGTGATCGCTCCTTCCAAACTGTTGCACCCCGACTCTGGAATGATCTTCCTTTATCCTTACACAGCATTGACAGTCTGGACACCTTTAAAAAAAAACAGCTAAAGACCCTTTTATTTAAAGCTGCTTTTACATAAACCTTTTATTTTCTTATTTTTAACTCAAATTTTTAATCTTTCATCTGTTTATGAAATTTTATAATTTTATGACTATTTTTTCTGATGTTAATGTGATTCTGTTTAGAGATCATTATGATTTCATGACTTTGTTTTATTTTGTTTTGATCTATGTGAAGCACTATGTCTGTTATAAGTGCTATATAAAAAAAATTTACTTACTACTTACTCACTAAAATAATGACTGGAGCCTGACTCGAGTCCAAGTCATGTGACTCGAGTCCACATCTCTGCTTCTGTGTAAACTATATTATGATGCTAAGCTTAAAAGTATTGATTAAATATTAGCCCTTTGATGCATGAATTATGAAATCTTCAACCATGATTTTTTAACAATGTTTTTCATTTGTCTTTAGGTGTGAATGAAACAAATTTCAACAAATATTTTTTGTAACATTTACTAATTTACAAATAATTTATTACATGTCCACCTCAGTGGACAGCGTGCATTCTGAACATGAAATATGTTGGCTTGACTTACTGAAGTCCAAATGGAGGGGATCAAATGCAATAAAGTCATCAACAGCTGTGCTTAATAGCAATAAATAAATAAATAAATAACAATTTTGAGTACCTGTCCACTGTGGTGACCATTATGTACCAAAGGGTTAAATATTAGGCATTCTTTACCTAAATTATTATGATTACTTTACAAGATTTGGAATTAGGAAATCTCTTAATAACTTATAAAACATTTATACAGCTAATGGATAAAAGCAATCCCATAATAGCTCCAATAGATTATGCTTTACATCTAATGCCTTTCACCAGAATCTATTGTAGCCATTAGTGTTTAATTTAAGAAAACATAAACAATGCATTCAATTCCAACTTTTTAGATAAGTGGCATATCGCTTTATGCAAAAATTATCATTACAATTTTATATTTGTTTAAAGTGCATCCTCTTCCCAGCAACATGCTCTGGCTCCTCCTGGGAAAGTCAGAAGTGTTTCCGAAACACAAAAGAAATGTGATCTCTCCAGCGAGTTCTGTGCTTCTGCAAGGTCTCCTCCCACTGGGACAAGACTCCTCTCCATGAGAGAAATGAGACTCCTCTCTGCTCTTTACTGATGAAGGGCTTCTTCACCTTTATCTCCAAGACCTTGTCCACATAGAAACAGAAGCCTGTGTTTTTCTCTCTCTACAAAAAAAAAAATGTCTTAATTATGTAGGAGTTTATTAGAAATCCACAAAAGTTACAGTCTTGAATGAATTAAAGAATGAATGAATGAATGAAATCTTTATTTCGAACATTATAATGAGAATAAAAATAACTATTATAACAATAATAATAATAACTGTCATGACTCTCATTTTTCAGCCTTCATTCAGCTCACCTGGTCCCCTCACCAAGCTCCTGACAAGCCCTGTTTCCCTGGCAACCACCATCAACTCCATTCATCTCACCTGTTCCTGTAATCAGCTTCATCCACTTCACCTGCTCCTGACTCCTCAGCTCATCTCACCTGCTTCCCCTGCTATAAAAGATCCATTCAGCTACCCAGTCTCGGCCAGATTATTGAAAACATTTGACAGTAAATTCTCCGGCCATCCACCCTGCCTGATCTCTGCCTCCGGATCTCGTTTGTCTCCTGACCCCTGCCTTGAACTCTGCCTGTCATCGCGACCCTCGCCTGTCTTCTACCACGTCTCCAGCATGCTCCCTGTACCTGCTTGTGCCGATCTGGTTTTGACTCACGCCTGCCCTCCGACTCTGTCTCCTGCCTCGCCCTCCTCTGGTAACTCCACAAAAATTTTTTTTTTTTCTAAATATACTTTTACTGTGTTTGGCGTCATTACGGGTCTTCTGAGTTCTGTTTGTTACACAAAGTCATTGTAGGCATTTAAAATAAAATCACACGGATAATCACACAAAAATTTTATTATCATATTCTGTTCGAAAAGGAGTAAGAGGGAGCTAATGCTTATTAAATCCTACCCCCCTTTTCCCATTTGCTCAAGATCAAAAGGAACAATGTCGTTCTCCTAATTCATCATACATTTTCTTTATTCATCTATAGTCAAATGGCCCATTTACACCATTACATACAAAATAGTTCCACATACCTTTTCCAATTATCCACCACACAGCGATTAACTTTCCCTACTACACACACTTACAACACACCACATTTTCTTTTGTACACTTACACCCTCGCACAACTCATTGGATCTTTTTGAGTCAAAATCCCTCTTCCTCCCTGTACCTCATGAAGACCTTATTTTTGTACCACTTTCTAAATTGGGTCATACTTGGACATTGCTTTAAATCACTATTTAATCCATTCCATAATTTTACCCCACAAACAGAGATGCACTGACTTTTTACTGTTGTTCGCACAGACGGGTATTTTAAATTCCATTCCTCTCAAATTATATTGTTTATCTCTATATGAGAAATACTTTTGTATATTACCAGGGAGTAGTTTGTCATTAGCTTTATATATTATTTGTAATGTCAAGAATTGAACAAGGTCAGTAAACTTTATCACTCGTGATTTCAAAAACAGGTTGTTAGTATGATCTCTATAGCCCGCTTTCTTAATAATCCTGATGGCTTTCTTCTGTAATATTATTATTGGTGATAATGTAGTTTTATAAGTGTTGCCCCAGACCTCTGCACAATAATTTAAATATGGTTGCACCAGCGTACAGTATAAAATGTGAAGTATATTGCAATCCAGGAAATGTTTCACTTTATTTAATATGGAAATACTTCTTACAGTTTTGTTGTGAATATGTTTTATATGTTGTTTCCAATTAATTTTATCATTCATTATAACACCCAGAAATGTATAATGATTCACCCCTTCAATAGTTACACCATCAATATTCATCACAATTTGGGTGTTTACTTTGTTATTCCCAAATAACATGTATTTTGTTTTACTTAAATTCTATGATAATTTATTTTTATCAAACCATTTTTTTACTTTAAACATTTCTACAGAAAGTATTTCCATTAGCTTGTTTAATTTTTCCCCAGAACAAAAAATATTTGTGTCATCAGCAAACATTACAAACTTAAATATTTCTGAAACCTTACAAATATCATTAATATATCGAATAAATAACTTTGGACCCAATACTGAACCCTGTGGTACACCACAAGCAATGTCCAAGTCTGTTGACGAAAACTGTCCCTCATTCACATATTGCTTCCTGTGGCTCAAATAACTTGTTAACCACTTCAAAACAATCCCCCTAATCCCGTACCGTTCTAATTTGTTAATTAAAATGCTCAGTTGTGTCAAAGGCCTTCTGAAGATCCAAAAAAATTCCCACAGCAAAATGTGTACGATCTATTGCATTTGTGATTTCCTCAACAGTGTCCATTAATGCTAATGAAGGTGATCTATTAGATCTAAAGCCATACTGACTTTTGAAAATATATATCTCTCATATAAGCTCTTTCATATATTATTATAAGCTCTTTTATATGATTAAATATGTATCTCTCACTTTTGCCCCTTATATATTATCATAAATACATTATTATATGCCTTTTCATGGAATCTTGTTATAATATCAAAGACCTCTCTGTGCCTTTTCTGCTCAAGCTGAACAGCTGCATAAGGGAGTGAAAGCGTTCCTTCCTTCAGTTCCTCAATACGAGAACAACTGTCTTTGTTAGCAAAGGATGTTGCAGGATGTGTCCTGATCATCTCAAGGTTGCATGTCCTTGGGATGAATTGGTCTTTCATTAACAAGGCTATTAGCTGACGTGCGTCTGCAGGTGCAGATGATGGCAGAATTACGTGTGTGTATGGCAAACTATGTATGTAACATTCCTGTAATCTTCAATAAAAATCAGCCGTTTTCAGCAGAACGGCGAGAGTCTGTCCGAAGCATCTGGCAAGAGCAGGTCGCGGGACTTGCTGCAGAGACTCTCCCCCTCATGAGCGGCGAAACAGTGAATGGACTTCTGATCATTTGTCTCCTCGTTCTGTCAACTTAAAAGGTGTTTAACTCCATCTTCTCCGTACCCGTGCTTGGTCTAACAGAAGAAAGACCAACAAATTTGGCGTCACGAACAGGATTTTTTCTTTTTGAAGAAAAAGGAGTTTTTGGAGGATGATTCGACCTACTGACCCAGCGAACGATCTTGGCACAGAACACCGCGGTGGAAAACAAGGTGAGCAGAGCCTATTATCTAAAATCTGCTCATTGGATTTATCCAAAGCCTTTGTGTCCAGAATCATAGTAGCTGTGGTCCTAAAATAATAGTTGGAGAAGAAAGTGGAGACAAGTGCAGAAAGAATAAGAGATTTTTTTGTAATGGTTTAATGGTGAAATGAAATGAGGATTTTCTAATGATTTAATGAGTAAATGAGAAAAGGAAATAGAACAGAACAGTAGGGGTTGGAGGCCCAGGGCAATAAGAAGCCCTAAATTCCACTTAGAGAAGGGTTGGAGGCCCAGGACTATTAGAGAAGCCCTAAATTCCATTTTCCAGGTCGTGGCTGACCACACTATTTGCTGACGAGTGAATAGAATATATAACGAGGTTATATAATGCTTGGTTGGAGTCCATAGGTGTGGGAAGCCTAAAATTCTACAGGTCAAGGACCTGGTTCGGGTTAAGGCCCTGGGAGGCTAAAGAGAGCTCCCTAAATTTTAAAGGCACAGGTCGAGGACCTGGTTTGGGTTAAGGCCCTGGGAGGCTAAAGAGAGCTCCCTAAATTCGAAAGGTCAAGGACCTTTGCATGAGATGAGAAAAATGTTCTAAGGTAACTGTTTTTGCATAAAATAAGTAATGTTTAAAATATGACAAGCAGCCCAGTTGAAGCCACGAGAAATGAGGTTTTATTGAGAAAGTCAGCGGAAGAGGCGATGAAGAAAAAAGGGGTAGATGTTAACAGTAGAGGTAACTGGAGCAAGATTTGGGAAGTGAAGGCTGCAGAATCAAGAGGAAAAAGGCACAGCTGTAGACAAGCTTCACTGTGTGTGTAAGCTGAGTTCAGCCTGTGTGTGTGAGGCGCAGCAAGAGGCTGCTTACGGCTCTGGATTGAAAGTGCAGCACTAGGAGAGTGCAGAATGCAGAGCAGAGTTTTGGGAGCTCCGTGTGTGTGTGTGTGTGTACAGCGCTGGGTGTGTGTGTGAAGGCCTGATGCGGTACCAGAAAATAAATAAATAAGATAAATAAGAGCTTTAAAAAGTTGCAACTCGTCTATGTAAATTACACTGCAGTGCTAAAATTAATGTTTGGAGCTACGCAAAATTCAAATTCTGCAACCCTGTTCTGATCAGTCTTTGAACAGAACACCACCAGTTAATAAATAAAACGTTTTTAAAGTAACATATGTATATGTGTATACATATATATACATATGTAGTGTACAAGCGTGATAATCATTTGTGTGCGGGGCAGCATGTGAGTGACCCCGATCTGGGGGTTAAGTGACCTGGAGATGAAAAAAGGGAAAAAACCACCAAGAAACGCAAGTAAGGATGTAAATGACAGCTTTATTTTAGAAATATAGTCATATAGCTGCTAAACAGTAAAATCAAAACAGATCTGCAGAAAATAAATATATAAACTATTCCTCAGAGCGCTCTAAAAAAATTGCAATTGGATTTGCTCTAATGTTACATAAGGCCTGCTTAAAAGCATAGTAAGCATTAAATTCTGAAAATAACCAGTGCAGTGTTAAATAAATTCTGTGCTTAAAATATTATATATATATAGAGAGAGAGAGAGAATAAATAAGTGACGAACTGACTTACTTTAAAAAAAAAAAGACTGTGACAAACAAAGAATGTCTCTGTGCCTTGTGAATGAGTGAATGTGTGTCTTCTTGCATGAGAAGTAAATGCTGCTTTCGCTGGATCTTCTGAATGACGCAGTTTTTAATAGAGGGAGCAGCTGCTTGAGAAACAGGGTGCGGTCCATGTTTTTACTAGACGGTTATTTAGTTCGAGAGACTGTGGAAACAATAGAAAAAGAATTTATCGTTAGTGTGAGGACAAGAAAATCCTTTAAAATACAAAAGTTGTATGGTTGTGGTTATAAAGGAAGTATTTTGTCTGATTATGGGCCGTGGAGTCAGCTGGACTCCCTCGCTCTCACAGTTTTTCTGTGTAACATGCAGTTTTAAGCAATTTGTGACTTTAGAAAGGATATTTTTCGGTGTTTTGGACGTACCTTAAGGCTTCTGGTTAGGGTATTCAGGAGATCCTTCCTCTCGGACAGATCTAGTGAGAATGACTGGAGTTTCAGCCTGGGGACCTGACTCCACCCACTTTTACACACAGGAGTTCCGCAGTCTAAAAATAGCACAGGGTGCTGCGAAAAGCAGCTCTGAACCTCTCAGGATCATCTTTATGAAAACCATAAAATTAACAAATAATCAGTAAGGAAATAAAATATTTGTTAAATCTTGCTATAAAACAAAATCCAATAA